TATTGAGTTTTATATAACATAATATTTAATAATTTAACAAAATAAAGTTTTTAAAAACACTACTCAATCAACTAAAAAATGTTTTTATTAATGTAGAAAAACTAAAAAAAAATGAAAAACTACAAATAGGATAATGGAAGAGACTGACCAAAAAGCTCAACAAGTTATTCTTCCACCAACAGAGATTAAAGACGGATTAGCAAAGATACGTGATGAAATAGCAGATTTGGTTTCTGAAAAGTTTGATGAATTTATTAAACAATATCAAATGAGTAAATATGAAACAGAAATTCATTTATTAATTGAAAACGAACGGACAACATTATTTATTGATTTTAATGATCTTCAAAAATTTGATGAAGACGTGTCTGGGGCTCTTCAAAATCAATACTATCGTTTTGAAAAGGTATTAGTTGCTGTTGCTGCAAGCATTGGTAATAAATACTATCTTCAAATAAATGGTATTTTCCCTTTAAAAGATACTATTGATGCTATTGGATTTTATAATTTACCTTACTCAGTTACTGTTAGAAAACTTCACTCAAATCTTGTAGGGTGTTTAACTTCTTTTTATGGAACAATTACTCGTTCTTCTGAAGTCCGTCCTGAACTAATCGAAGGTGTCTTTAAATGTTTGGATTGTGGATGGGAATCACCACCTATTCCTCAACAATTTAAATACACTCAACCAATGCGTTGTTTAGGATCTGGTTGTACAAACACATCTCGATTTCAGTTACTTCTTGACAAATCTGTATTTACAGATTGGCAAAAAGTTAAAGTTCAAGAATGTTCAAATGAAATTCCAAGTGGTTGTTTACCTCGATCTATTGACGTGATTTTAAGAGGTGAAAATGTAGAACAAGTAAGACCAGGTCAAACATGTACATTTGTAGGAATATTAATTGCCGCACCTGATACAACAAGACTTTCAGTTGGTAGGAATGTCACTGCAGTTCAAGAAAAAGAAAAAAAACGACCAGGAGAATTAGAACAAGGAATTAAAGGATTAAATGATTTAGGTGTAAGAGAGTTAGTATATAAATTATCTTTTATTTGTAATTGTATACAACAAAGTGAAAAATCTGTTAATAATGAAATTGATAAACCATTAACAAAAGAAGAATTAGAAAGAGTAAAAGAAATTAGTTTACATCCTGATGTTTTTCAAATGTTTATCAATTCATTTGCCCCAAATATTTTTGGACATGAAAATATCAAAAAAGGTATTTTATTATTATTATTTGGTGGTGTTCATAAAACAACAAAAGAAGGAATTGCGTTGAGAGGAGATATTAATATTTGTGTTATTGGAGATCCATCAACTGCAAAGTCTCAGTTCTTAAAATGTGTTTCTACAATTCATCCTCGTTGTATATATACTTCTGGAAAGGCTAGTAGTGCAGCTGGTTTAACAGCTGCTGTATTAAAAGATCCAGAAACAGGAGATTTCAATATTGAAGCTGGGGCAATGATGTTGGCTGATAATGGAGTTTGTTGTATTGATGAATTTGATAAAATGGATTATTTTAATCAAGTTGCATTGCATGAAGCTATGGAACAACAAACAATTTCAATTGCAAAAGGAGGTTTACATGCTACACTTAATGCTCGTGCTGCTGTTCTTGCAGCAGCAAATCCACTAAAAGGAAGGTATGACTCTAATAGATCGTTAAAATCAAATTTAAATATTGGAGATGCATTAATGTCTCGTTTTGATTTATTCTTTGTTGTGTTAGATGAACCAAATGAAGAAAGTGATCGAAGAATTGCCGAACATATTGTTAGTGTCCATCAATTTAAATCTGCTGCATTACATCCTCCTGTTTCTAGTAATGATTTGAAGTTGTATATTCGACATGCTAAAACAATAACACCTCAATTAACACAAGAAGCAAAAGAGCTTTTAGCAAAAACATTTGCTGATTTACGTAAAAGCGATATGACAGGAAAAGAATCAAATCCATTTCGTATGACAGTTAGGCAATTAGAATCTATGATTCGTTTAAGTGAAGCATTAGCTCGATTATACTTAGATAAACAAGTACGAGATGATTACGTTAAAGAGGCAAGTAATTTGATAAAACAATCAATTGTATTTGTTGAAGATAAAAACGAAGAAGAACAAGGTACAACAAATGACAATGAAGATGTTATAGATGATATATTGCAATGGAAATGATTGAAACTGTAAGAGAAATGGTTATTAAAAAATTCAATTTTTGATTATTTCCTTACAAATAAAGCAACAAAAAATCCAGTCATATGATCTTCATTTGGATCAACTCGAATACAATTTTCATATGGGTAACTATCATCAATAGCAATACCTCTTCTTTGCCATTGTGGAAAAGCTGGTTCTAATCTAAATAATGGA